AAGGATGATTGCTAATCTATATAATACGAATTAAGTATTTGATTTCTGACACACTATAGAGGTCGGTGGAATGCGTCTGAGCAATGAGTTCCGTCTAGAAATGTGCACTTTACGTAAGGCTTAATTGAAGGAAGTATCCAGAAAAAGGACATTCCTTATAGAGAAAATGACGAAATCAGGCAAATAAGGCTAAAGACGGCTGAAAGTGAAGTGGACAGAAGGGAAAGCCTACAGAAAAAAGGTCATGCTGATTCCAGTACTAAATGAATCAGTTTTTCGTGTGTGTTGGTCGTTGTGTGAACAAGCTGGCGTATTGATTTTTGCTCAGAGACGATAGGGGCGTTCGGGCTGGGATGGAGCCGTCGAAATGAGGGTCGCCGCGTTGAGCAGCACGTATGAGGAATGGTTTGATTTTTCCTGAACTGGTAAGCATCATCCTCCACTGATTAATTTCTATAGCAACTGCTAATCATCATCAACAAAACATTACTCATTTGGTGATGCTTCTCATTTCTTCTTAAATTAGTCAGAAGAGCATTTAATGAATGTGAAATTTCTTACACTAGTTGATGATAAAAATGCAAGAAAACATGCTTGAAAAGTATTTGATTGACACTATGTATATTATAGTCAAGATACATATTATATTGATATTGATATTGATAATGAATAACAATCAATCTATGTTGAACACGTTAGACGATTATACAAAAAATTCACAAAAATAGCAAACGATGTGAGCAATGATTCAACCGATTTACAGCAAACAGACCTAATCAAGTCAGTTAACCGCCATGGATTAGTGAAACATCAACTGAATTTTCGCTTGTGTCAAACGTTTTTGACTGCATGAACGTGATCTAAAGGTAAAACGAATAGTGATTAATTGACTTACAATTCTGAATGGGTTTTTATGTATTTTATACTACTGGTTCCTTTGCAAATATCTTGACTCTGTTCTTTGGGTTTGTCAAGGGATCCAGTTTCACAAAGCATCAGAAGCCCGCCCATACCACCAGGGCAACGACTTTTTTCAAGCAAATCAATCAACATGAGTGCTCAAATTTGTGTTCGCTACAACCATACTACCCGCAGCCTTTCATTTTTCCTGACCTCCTATTCACAAAACATATTCAATAACCACCAACACTTTCTCCCTATTTCATACGCAGAAAGGCCGTTTTTGTACTGCTTTTGCGCGTGGGCTGATTCGAGATCTCATTCAAGCGAAGAACGTTTGCTGTTGACACAGCTCGCATTGATATCAACCCGATATTTGCGCAGTGAGAACGTGACTCCAAAATCGTCTTATGATCATCCTCATCTGTTGGTCTTATTAATGGGTAACGCGATTTCACTTTAACTTATAACTGAACACGCCAACATTATTGCACTATTCTACTCAGACGATGACTCATGTTGTCATCGCCATCGAACAACTGCTGGCGAAATATTATTGAAACATTTCCTGACATAAAGCCTTTCTTCTTTCACACCCCCAAAAATCTGCATGCAAGCTGTTGGCGCGCCTTGGGGGCACACCATTTCCCTGCCCCAGTCAAGCATTCCTGCTCTGTTATATCATTGCAGAATTTCAGCGCTTCAAATTCTCGCAGTCGATTTAAATTCAAGAATTTCCCCAACGAATATTCAGCAGTCCAACACGTACGGCTGTTTGGTGAATAACACGCAAACCGCATGTGAATTTCGTAGTGAGACGCGAATCGCTCTCTTGTTCGTTCTTTCTTATCAAATCAAACTCTGCTTAACACACTTATGTGGCGTTTTGAGGTCGTTATCACCTGAGCAGGCGATGCCACTCTGCTCCCTCACAGTACAACGACATGCCTACAAACGCTAATTCGAGTAAGGACCAGGGTCGTCATGGTAAGCATTCCGCCTAGTGGAGGAAAGCGGCCTAATTAGCCGTTCTGGGGCTCTATCCGCATTTGCGGCCTCTTAACCAAACAGAAATTGCGCGTGAGTGCACAAAGTCCAGAACCATTTCTTAGTGCCTCGCCATGAGTTCTAAAAACAATTGTTTTATATAGAGTATACCAGTATTCTTTATAAGATACTTGCTCTATTTCATAATCCAAACTATGCATCCCCTTTTTCAATATTTGTCAGTCATGAATTGACTGAATTTATCATCGTGACTTAGTTCAGGTGAGAAATTGCATGTCTGGAGTATCTGAATCATTTGTCTAGCTAAGAAAAGTTAATTCCAAAGTGTGCCTATTTTGGCTCAAACTTTTGCAAACATTAAGAAAGTGATCCAGAAGTGATTTTGATGATTGGCAGTTGTGCAAGATCGCAGTGACCACTTTAGTAGGTGGTCTGGTATGTCTGGTCCAGGTCTCAAAGATTGCGCAGACCTTTCCATTAATACTCGTATTGCTTGTCGTCATCCATTTGAGCTTTGTTAGGCTTATTTGTCCGCGTTTGTAGAAAATCAATTTGCAGGTTGTCTTTCGAAAATGTTGCCATTATCGCAGTCATGGTATTATTGGGCAATGGCAGCACTTCTTGTCGCACAGGTATGTAGCTAATATCGTTTGTTCTTATTCTTTCGTACTAATTCTTCTATCATTCCTTTTTTTCTACTGAAGAAGTGAGTATGTTCTCAGCCTTGTGAAAGTGATCCAGAAGGTTGAACACTTGTTCATTTTCATAAAATAATTTGCACCACATTTCACTTTTTCCACCCTTTATCACTTACCGTCAGTTCACTGACATATCTTAACACCTGCTTTTTCATTGTTATTCAAGTCCTGTCATCATTTCTGTTTCTTGTACTTTTGCACATTACTGTTGTAGGTAATTTTATCCGTCAATTATCACATTTTGGTCTGCAATATGCCGATTGCTAACACTTTATTATTACTGGTAATTATGGCACATCATGGATATGCTTTAGGTGATCAAGCTCGTCCCCTCTTCCACAGGTTGGTTTTTGAGCTTTTCACTTGACCTACAATATTTCGTTCACATATCTTCCTTTTATCAAGAGTTCGTACCTTGATATCTTCCAGAATTTGTGGATGTGTTGCTTTTATCGCGGTCTTATTTGTGAATACAACTCATGCACTTGAACTTCTAACCGACTATCATGATGGACACTCACATTCACATGGTGATCACGAACACCACGATGAACATCACTCAGAAGAATACGGTTTTGGATTTGTTCCAAGTAGGCGGCATCACTTCTTCCCTCAATTAACTTTACTGTTTGTGAGGATCAAGTTTGCACAATGTTTGACCCGTTCTTTGCTCTCTCTCCCACTAATGTGTCTGCAGTTATTTTTATATCACGTCATTTTTACGACACAGCACGGTCCCTTGCATGTCGCTTTAATGTTCAGAGATAGTTCACTGATCA